CAATTTTGTAAATCATCATTTAAAAAAATTGTCAACCATAATGGGCAGTAACTATATATATGACGTGTTTTTTTTCCCCCCAAGGAGTGAGCATTACAGTTTCAAAAAAAAAGGGATCCAGGCTGAATCTGATGGGTACAAGACTGTTTTAAGGGAAGGGTCTGTAGTGAGAAGCCAGATTATGGAGGCCAGCACAGATACATAGCACATCACCATCTGCTGGCCAAGCAGCAATGGATAGGCAGCCATTCAAAAACCTGCAGTTACTTTAAGCCATTTGGTGGTGGGGCTGCTGTTGTGCTTCGAATCTTTGTTTCGGTGTTGGCCGGACATTTTCCTGTAGGACTTTCTGGCAGAGATCAGAATTAATTATTCAAAGTCCTCCAAGTCCCGAAGCATGAAAGGAGCTCCATACCAACAAACTTCCACTACCATGCTTGACTGTCTGTCTGTATGTTTTTTTTATTATAAAACATAAAAAAAAAAACTTCTACTTTTGATCCATTGTAGCAGGATACATCTTCCAAAAAGCTTCAGTTTTATTTGGCAGTACAAAGAATATAATTATTTTGTGTTCTTGTAGGTTTACCAGAGGTTTTTGTGTTTGTTTAACCTACTTCATGTTGTTTCAGAGAACTGCCCAAACTACTAATTGCTCCAAAACTCTTGCCTGTATGGAAGCAATCGGGATGACTTGGTGATCTAGGGATACAGCAAACACTGGGGAAAAGTGGTCTGGCAAAATGAGACCAAAGTTTACTTAAATTGAAACTACTTTTTGGCGCGCACACACCATGCCCACAGTCAAACAGCACGATGCAAAATTCCTGAGTTTTGGTACCATGTTCACCCTGCAGCATCACAATGACCCCTATTCATTCAGAGAAAGTTACAAAGGAAAGGTTTAGATCAAAGCAGATTCATATTTGTGTTAAAGTAGCCTATTCAAAATCCAGACATAAAGCAAAATTGATGTTCACGGATGCTTCCAGTCCAATTTTACGGATGTCCAGTTTCTCTGCAAAGAACAATGGGTGGACATTTTATTCATTAGGCGCACAGAATGGTAGACATACCCAAAGACTTGCAACTTCATTGAAAGGTGCATGTGTCCTGTTTCTTCAAGTGTATGCGTTTGTGGACTACGTTGCGTTGGTCTATCGCGTAAGTAATAAAAATAAAACACTATGAAGATTGTGGTTATAATTTGAAAAGGTTTAGGAGGTGGGAAAACTTTTGTCTGTAGCTACGTCTGGTAGGTTGCATTTTAAAATAGCGCTGCTCCCTAATTGCAACAAAGAGAGCCAACTGCTTGACGGCAAAGTTCTGACTCTTTGGAAAACTGTGTAGCTGATTTTTTTTTTTTTTTTTTGTATTGTATTTTTAGCTTGTTGCAATCATTAAATGACAAGAGTGATTCCTGTCATTGAAGTCCATCTTGGGGGGTTGGGGGCTGTTGTGATGGGTGTGACCTCACAAAGGCAGCTTTTCTGCCAACCAATCCCTCCCCGGCTGTTTGAATAAAAAGCCCAACCCACCTCAGATCGCTCTCTCCTCTTTTACTCTTCCCTTCTCTCTGGTGTGTGTCTCTGTCATGCACACATGTCATGCTCCCTGCTCTGTCATATCAGGGATTTTCTACTCAGCGGCAAGTGAACTTTGCAGCCAGCTGTGCTGTCAGTTTCAGAGAATGCTCATACCTCAACAACTCTTTGCAGACACCCCACCCCTCTGCCCCGCCAGCTTCCCCCTGCTTTTATTTATTTTTTTTAATCATTATTATTATTTTTCCTTGTTGCTGGTCAGAGGCGTGTGCACAGCTGTACCAGACTGCGTATGGCAAATCGTGCCAGGTCTTTGCATGTCAGACTGCAGCAGATCTCATTATCCCGAGAACTTTGTGCACTTGTTTTCGTTAAGTGCGTTTCTATCTACTCTCTGTGTGCAAAGGAATCTGTTGGACCCAGTCCCATGTTGGAGCTCTGTTTTTCCTCTTTTATTCCTCCATCTGGATAATTCTCACAGTCTGTCCTTCTGCTGTGTTAGCTACAAGAGTAAATCAAATACGCCAGGCTGCTGACCACAAAGCAAAACAGTGATCATAAAGGCTAAGATTGTAGAGCTATGGGAAACTGTAGAGCTGATACTTTTGATAATATTTAGACTATTTGTCCTCACCGGAGTTGTTTTTATACCAATCTTGCTGTTTTGATCTATCGATTCTTCAGAGAGGTGCTGTTTCCAATTTTCCAAGCACATAGTGAACTTTTTAAAAGCACAACCTTAAGTTGTTATTTAAAAAAAACAAAAAACAAAAGCTGTGTATATACATATCAAAAACAGCTTTGCAATTTAATTACTTGAAATCGGACTTTAAAAAGCTCCTGCTCTTTCCTACACTCCGCCTTCAGCATGTCATTACAGTGATTATGCTGTTTACAACCGTTAGGAGTGTTGCACTGAGAAGTAGTTTGTTTGATGAGCGAAGCGGACTCGCGCTTCCACCAGGTGCTTGCTAATTGCTGCAGCGTCGAGTCTGGTGGAGCTGAGAGAGAGGAAGAGCTGCTCTGTGAGGCAGAAGCTCCAAGGAGGAGCTTTGTGGGAAAAGGTGGCGCTCGGTGTGAGCGAGTGTTTGGCCACCCCCAAAATGGCTGACTTTGGAAGATTCAAGAATTTCTCAGACATTCATAAAATAATAAAAGCAACACCCCTGGTAGGGTTTTGATGAGGGGAATAACGCTATAACATGACATAAAGCTCAAAAAAGTTGATTTTACATAATACTCCCCCACGTCCCCCCTTTAAAAACATCTTTTTAGACAAAAATACAGAAATGATATCATGTTCTGCACAATCAACACCAGTCAGTCAGCCTGAATTGTGGATTTATGGGAAGCTGAGCTTATGGTACTGCAGTACTTATGCAAGAACCGTTCTGTACGTCTCGCTTGTGATCTGTATACACAAGAAGACGATTATGTAAGTGTGAGGTCATCCACTCTCACTCCCCTTTCCCTGCAACCCATACATGTCCCCGCTGGCTCTCAAATCAGGTCAAATGAGGACTGCTGACGCTGAGCACTGCCCCGAATAACCCCCATATATGCATAAAGCAACATGGAGAAAGCCTTGAGGTGTTTTAAACATTCCTTTTTAGCAAGCCGCCAAAGTGAACAATCCCACAGAGCCACCCCCCTGGCAGATTTAGATGTAAAATTATTTTTCATTCTGCCAAGAAATGTGCTCTTGATAGGAAATAAGGTCTGTCTAAAGACTGTGAGGCAAGATAAAGGAGTGTCACTTTTGAAGAAGAAAAGTGTGTCTGTCGATTTTGCATTTCATTTAAAAACAACATGCTGAAAAATGATTTATGCCCTTGTCAATAATCGATGCAAAAATCTTTACTGGCAGTAGATTAAACAACTGTCTTTTTGCATGTTTCCACTTGTATTTTAACTGGCGGTGATGACATTGACATTGGAAGACTTCCTTGCCATCACCCCAATATATATTATTTTATCTCTATCCACATCATTTTTAACTTCGGCCCCTAATAACTTCAAATACCATTCAAATCCACAATCCAACCAAAGTTCATAAAAACAATGTGAAAACTAGTATAAAATGCAGCTGGAAAAGAAAATCTAATAACTCCTGTTTCTAAATACCCATTGATGTTTACCATCTCCAGGTCTTCTCTCCCTGTTGCCAATTCATACGTCATCATGTTCTCATTTTGTACTGCTTATCAAAGTTTTCTCTGTCCCTTGGAGGTCTGAAGAAATCACAACTGAGAAGAGAAATAAAAGTGAAAGGCAAATTCAAGTGATCATACTTACCTAGATCTACCCTGAGAGGAAACAATCAGAAATTGACTTAAGTTAATGAGGGAGATGCGTCAACTTGAACAATCAATGATAGTATATCCTAATTTATAAACATTTTCTGACTAAAAGAAACCTAAAATTTCAACAATCTCCATACAATTAGACAGGCCGAGGCTACAATTACAGAGAAACTTTCTAAATCATAAGAATTGTATTGAATAAAAAAGGTAACCAGCTTGTGGTGTAATTATTTTCAACAGCAACTTGCTTACAACATAAAACAGAGCTGAAGATCTACATTGATGAATTGCCACAAGCAGCACAGAAAAGGCTTGCATTTGCCGTTTTCAGACAGAAATGCTTTGTGAAAGATGCTGTTGCCTTGGAGATGAAGCTAAGTCATTTTACACCTGTTACGCACTGAGGTTGTTAATTCCTGTTAAACATCTCAGGTTTATTTTTAAATGCCTAATTTTCCCTTTGAGAGTTTTATTACTAATAATCAAGTATCAAGCTGTATTTATGCCAATATGGTAGTAAGAAAATGCATTTCTTTCAAAGCTATGTCCTTGCGAGGTAAATCCATCCAATACCACTCGGATCCATTTTAACCGTAGTCCATGATAAACCATTTTTAATGCTCTTGTGTTAGATAGAGCTGGAGTAAATTGCAAAAGTCGGGTTTCATCAACGTTTTTGCAGAAGATTGGAGAATCCTTGAGCAACAGATTAAAGTCTAACTAAAGGGAGCGGGAGTTTACAGTAATCCTAAAGTGACAATATACTCAAAATAATGCTTGGGGCACATGGAATAAGTACAGAGCTGAAATCTGACAAATGCAAAGTGAAGAAACAATAATTTGTCCTGAACTTATGCCTCGTGTTCTCCTTAAAATCTCAAATAGTTTAAAGTTATCATCATGTACTATCCTCCTGATTATGAAACATTCTTGCCATGTTGAATTAATTAATAAGTAAACTGGTTCCAAGAGGAAGATCACAAGAGGTGCATTGCGTCAAGTTTGCACAGAGCACCCTGTGTTTCGGTTAAGATGTATGTTTCAGATCCAAAGGACTGGCTGAGTGATATTGTATGCCTGCTTATCTCTGAAAGAAAGGAGAAAGCGTGTCTGCTTTCTGCTTCACGGTATCCCGCAGTATTATGACCCTGACAACCCATATAAAGCGATACAAGAACTCTTGATTTACTGAACTACATTTCAGTAAATTCCTCCTAGGAATTGAAGGGAGATAAACGTGTTAGCGAGTGCAAAACTATGAATCATGACTGCCTTCATTGACACTTTGTGTGCTGGCCAAGGTAAAGAGACAGAGGGGAAAAAAGTTAGTGAGGTAAGTGTTTGTGATTTCAAGGATTGATCCATTTTTAAAGATTAAACAGCAATAAAAAAGCCTTTTACAGTTTTTTAAGTAAATCCTGGTGTTTTAAAAGCCTTTGTTCCTCATCAATCATTCTCATAGTTTGAAATAAACTAGTTCTTTGAAATAATTGCTTTATATAAATGGGGAACCTGGATCGTACTTGAGTATGACCGTTGGAAGCTTCCTGTGTGGGTATAAAGCATCACACACAATATTGGAGATTTGCCTTCACACAAACATCTTTCAGGGACACGTTTATTGAGCTTGAACGTTGGATGTTGGCCAGTTAAGTCATGGATAAAATCTGGTGCTCTGGATTTTAAACAGAACGCCTTTTATCCAAATATATCCATGTCTTTGGAAGCACACAAACACTCCTCGTTATAACGTTAAAATATGTTTTGAGGTTTCCAAGATTTTCTTTTCTCCACCAGTTCAAACGAAGAACGTTATTTCTCTACTTCCATCAGCTTTTGCTGTATCCTTCTCAAAATTTGCTGTCAAAGTTCTGTCCCATGGGGTATATAACAAATGGATGGAGGAGGTTATTTCCCAAGCCCCTTTAAAAAAATTTAACAAAGATGTATAACACTGTTTGGAAACACTGAGCTATTTTTTCTTCTTTTTTTTTTTTTTGGAATAGGCTTTACAAAAGGCCTATATTCCAAAAGCTCCTCTTTTGGCAGCCTTTCTGATTGTTCACTGTTCAACAATCAATATTGCAGAAGCTATGTGTGATAGCATTAGCATTGGATAAAATGGGGCACAAACTATGCCAGAGCCCACTTTGTATCTACTAGCCAACAGTGCTGTGTGATTATTTCCATTAACGGCTCAGACTTGTGAACTTCAACGATCTGTGCTTTTATCACTCAAGGTCATGAGAAAGAAAGCAAGCTTTCCAGAAAAAGTCTAAACGATACATTTGACTTTAGCTTGCTGGTGCTTATACTCATCAAGTCAGAAAAGATCTCCTCTCTACCTTAACCCTTCTTAACAAACAGATCAAATTAATAAAATAAAAATCACATTTACTATTGACAAGAAAAAAAGAATCAAGGTCCAATTGATTCTTGAGTTTTTTTTCCTTCCATTGTTGGGTTAATAACAAAATAAGGAGCAGTTTTTGCAACTTTGTGTGCTTCAGCTAGACAAATGAGTATGGGCTGGATCATTATAAATATTACCTATACCTGCTTTAGATGCTGTGACTTACTTCCAAAGAGCAGTCAGACATGACAAATTCAGATATTTTAATTATCTTCTGAAATAATTTTTTCGAGTTTGTTTCGTTTTTCCACACCTATGTAGCTGTCCAGCTAAACTGACAGCAATAATCAGAAAAGCAGCCTTGAGACCTATTGTGCCTCTGGAGGAGCTGCAAAGATCCACACCTCAGGTGGAATAATTTGTTTACAAGACAGATTTTTTTTAAGGTGTTTTTTATTTTACCACGCTACAAGGTCACCCCACAGTCCAGCTTTAACTGGGTCACAGGTGAAAACCCCATTAAAAAAGGGCATGGCTACACTTACGGACTTAAAGCTCTTCGTGAAGGATACAGTGCCATTTATATTATTTTATGTCTTTGCCGCCATCATGTGGTCATCAGTGGGTAGCGCAGCAAATGTGTTTCCGGTTAAAACGGAAAAGGAAACTGCTTTTACATCCAATATGTCTGCCGTCGTCAACGTTTGTTGAACAAAAACAAGACTCGTGGAAAATGGCAGACGGCGGAGTTGACGAGTTATCGCAGCTGGAATATTTGTCCTTGGTGTCAAAGGTCTGCACGGAGCTCGACAACCATCTGGGAATTAATGACAAAGATTTAGGTGTGTGTTTTTTAACTTTCTTCCCAGTTCGTAACCTAGACTAGCTAGCTTCTCTGTTAGCTTCACTGTCCCTATTTCAACAGAGAAGCTAGCTCAGTGTTTCCACCGCCAGTGTGAAAAAATAGCTCAGTGTTTCCACCGTTCTTTTCCCCGACCCCCTTGACACTGGTTTATGTGAACACTAAGTTCAGTCTAACGTTATTGTCTTTTGCTTCACTGTCATAGCCGAGTTTGTTATCAGTCTTGCTGAAAAACAGCCGAGCTTCGATGGATTCAAAGCACTTTTACTCGAAAATGGAGCCGAATTCACTGTAAGTCAGAAGATCGTGGAATTATTAGCCAAAGTAAGATATTGTTGCCTAAACGGTTCATTAATTTCACTAACCCTGCTTTCTTGCGTTTAACTTGCAGGATTCTCTCATCAGCAACTTGCTCAGACTCATCCAGACGATGCGACCTCCTTCTAAGGCATCGACAAGTAAAGGTAAGTCTGAACTTAACAGGTCCATCATACTTGATATATCGTGGGCATTTCTAGTAAACCCATCACTTGTTTGAATTAAAAAGCCTCCCAATTAAAGATTTCTTTATTTCTTGACCCTACAGCCTCTGATGTTTCAATCAAGCCAAAAAGCGAGAAAGACAAGTTGAAGGAGTTGTTTCCTGCTCTGTGTAAACCCAACGATCCATCACCAAAGGTACTCAAAGCTCACATTTGTGTCTCTTTCTGTCCCTATTTCTTTACAAAATTTTCATAGAAACAGAATTATCTCTTAATGAATGTGCTGCTTTTAATTTATTTTTTTTACAGTTCAACTAGTCTGAGCAATTCAATTTAAAAAATGAAGGATTAATAAATTTCTAGTGTTCTTTTGTTTAATTATTTAAGAGAATGACTTGCAGCTAATGGAAAAACATTTTTTTTTAAATTTCTCAAAAAGTTTCAATGCTACATAAGTCAATTGAAATAAAATATCTACACATTCAAGCAGAAAACATCTGACCTGACTAGCAATAAATTATTGGTAAAAAAAAAAGCTGACTGTTCACCAAGTTCTTTATCCAAGCACATTGCTTTCAAGTTGAATGGATGGAAGGAGTTGAAAGTTATTAGCTGCAAAATATAATAATTATCAAAATAATTCTATAAATTCTTGACAAATATCCCACTGTGTGTAATGATTCTATTGTGTTTTTGAACTAAAAAATTGAAGTAAAAAAAAAAAAATTATATTGTAGTTTTTGTTATGTGTATGTATGCTATTTGGGAAACAGAGGAATTTGTTTTTATTTTAACCAATGTATTCATCAAAGATAAATTATACTTTCCAAAGATGTTGTCAGAAAAAAAAATATTATCCTAAGTCTGAAAATCTAAATTTGTTTTTGTTTAAACTTTGCAGCGGATTCTGGATGAAGACGATGTGAAAGTCGCTGCTGATGCGATGAAGGAACTAGAGATGTTTATGCCCAGCGTCAGCGGGGCGGACTCCAAAGTCAGCAAGAGCAAGTAAGACGCATTTAGTTGCAACTACATGAAACAAGAACGAAACTTTTTCAAAGTTCTGGTTTTGCTAAAATGGAAGGACAAAGTTGATACGGTTGCTTTGATCTGGACTTCCCCTTTTCCTCCCACAGATCAGAAAAAAGCAGGCATCGCAGCCGAAGTAGAGAACGAGAGAGGCACAGAGACAGGGATCGGGACAGAGACAGAGACAGGGACCGGGGAGGAGACAGGAAGAGGCGGCACCATTCCCGATCGCGTTCCAGATCCAGGTCACGCTCCCGGGACCGGCACAGGGACAGGGACAGAGATCGGGACAGAGATCGTGGTAAAAGAAAGGACAAGTCTTCCCGCTGGTCTGATCGTTCACCCAGCCCCAGGAAAGACCCGGATAAAGACTCTGATCGCTGGAAAGACAAACACGTAGACCGGCCTCCTCCCGAGGAGCCTTCTGTCGGCGACATTTACAATGGCAAAGTGACCAGCATCATGCAGTTTGGATGCTTTGTTCAGCTGGAGGGACTGAGGTCAGCGCGAAAGAAGCCGGCACCAAAAATTACTTACTGAAAACGACCGATGAGTAAAAGCTTCGATCTGCTTAATTTCACTCCGTCTGAACTCATTCTTCGTTTGTTTTCTTGGAGTTTAGAAAACGATGGGAGGGTTTGGTCCACATTTCTGAGCTGCGCAGAGAGGGTCGCGTTGCGAACGTGGCGGACGTCGTCAGCAAGGGCCAACGAGTGAAAGTAAAGGTGCTGTCGTTCACCGGCTCCAAGACGAGCCTCAGTATGAAGGTAAGAACAAAGGGTGTCACTGTGTAAGAAAATGCGTGCATAATTATGAAAAAAAAAAATTCTGGTGTTGAGCTTTAAAAAAATAATTCCTGTAATTAGATATTAAGATTGTGAATTAAAGACGTTGAGACATTACTGACATCTTATTTAGAGTGAGTGATAAACTTTGTTACCAGCTTGTCTCGTTATTATTATTTATCCTGCCAGGATGTGGACCAGGACACAGGAGAAGATCTAAACCCCAACAGGAGAAGGAATATGGGCCCAGAAGGAGGCGAGGACGTCTCCATGAGGAACCCCGACAGACCTAGCAACCTGAACCTGGGTCACGCCCCCGAGCTGGAGCAGGACGACACGCTGGAGCGCAAGAGGCTCACCAAGATCTCTGACCCGGAGAAGTGGGAGATCAAACAGGTCAGGATTTTGTAGATTAAAAAAAAAAAAAGTGAAAAAGCCTGCTGGGGTTAACGGATGACCAGGTGAGTGTTTTATGAAGCGGCATCAATACTGGAGGAAAACCCAGATGCTTTCCGCAATTTAATTTGGTAAATAATCTGCAGCTGATGCTAGAAATTGTATTTTCTATTTTATGTCCTAACTATTTCTGAACTGTTTTTTTTTTTTTTTTTTTTTTTTTT